TTCCCTTTGCACATCATTCACGCACAACAAATGGTTGTGCGTGAAAATCCCAGTAACTGAGCAGATTGTGAAATACTCAGACCGGCCCGTCTGGCACCAACAACCATGCCACGCTCAAAATTGCTTAAATCACCTTTCTTTCCCATTCTGACATTCAGTTTGGAGTTTAGGAGATTGTCTTGACCAGGACCACACCCCTAAATGCATTGAAGCAACTGCCATGTGACTGGTTGATTAGATAATTGCATAAATGAGAAATTGAACAGGTGTTCCTAATAATCCTTTAGGTGAGTGTATATGTAGGTGAGAACAAGCTTGGGGGTCGGCCAGCATGCAGCACCCCAGGAGCTGGGGGTTAAGGGCCTCGCTCAGGGGCCCACAGACATGTGACTATCCTACTGAGGCTGTAGAGTAAACCGGCGACCTTCCAATCACAGACCCAGAGGCTCAGCCCACTGAGCCACTCGCTGCCCCCTGTGTTCTTTCATCATAATCAGACCGGTTTCTGTGCGGCTGGAAAAGCTCAATATCTGAAGCGCCACTCAAAGCCCTTTCCCTCGAGTTCCCATCTGAACGTGGTCTGGGGCCCCTGCTGGTTTGGGGGGCAGCTCTCACCAGGTTTGGCACCCAGGAGGTCAGCTGGGAGGGGGGACAGTCTGTTAGGGAGGGGGGACTTGGTCTGGAGCTAGGTGCCAACCCCTCCCACACCAGTGACCCTGTACCCCCAAACTGCTGTCCTGTGCCCTGTCCATAGGGCTACCAGAAGGGGGCACTGTTCCCTCCAAGGCCCACTAGGTGGCAATGCCTTTCTTTAGTAAGACACCAAGACACTTTCCAGTGTAATAAAAGTGGTAAAACGAAAAACCTGACAATCTGCCCAGCTGGCAGCAACTATAGGGCTGAGTTGAGCAGACAATGTGCCAAAGTGACCTATCAGCACCACAGCCTGTGTATAAGCCTACAAATGAGGGTATGAAGGCAGGTCCAAGCCAGGACACACCGACTGGTGTCAGAGGTAGGCATGTAATGATGAATCGCGAATCGGTTAAAAATCAATGTAAATGTATGACGATTTAAACCGGCTGATGTGGAAAATGAATGGCTATTTTAGGAATACTTCACGGTACTTTACTTAACAGAAAACTGGTGTACTATTACATTTGATTTCACGACGTCAGTTCGACATCAGATGTCACTACGTATTCACGTCAGCGTCTACGTTAGTTTTTTATTTTGACCGAACGCGAGATGGCGAGCGAATTTGAAATTGAGGACACACCCCCCGATCTTAAATCGGCGGTGTGGAAGCATTTTAGCTTTCCGGTAATCACAAACAAAAACACAGAGTAAAGCACAGATAAGACAATAACTGCGTGTAAACACTATAAAAGACTGATAACATACACAAATAGCACAATGAACATGCTTCAGCATGTCCACCGGCACCACAGTGAGCTCAATTCACCTCCGCCAGAGCGAAGATTATTAAAAGGGCAAACCACGCTTAAAAGCTGCACATGCAAGCCTTAGTTTATTTGGTAACGCTTTATATATTAAGTGCACCTTCATAATGCATTCATTATGCATTTATAGAACATTCAGTGCACCTTCATAATGCATTCATAGAACATTCAGTGCACCTTCATAATGCATTCATAGAACATTCAGTGCACCTTCATAATGCATTCATAGAACATTCATAAGCAGCATTCAAGTACATTATAACATCCTAACATCCCTGAATAGCTTTAATACACATTAATAACAAACATTACATCCATCCATCCATCCATCCATCCATCCATTTACTTCCGC